CTGGCCTCCATGTGAGGATAGCGTGGGCAATGCATCTCTACAAACACATGCATACAACACACACATGCATGCAAACATGCACGCACAATAAGTAAATAAATGCTCAAATCTTATTGAAACAGTAATCTTTGATTGCTTCGAGAGAGGTGTGTCTTTTTCCAGATGTGTAGCCGCCTCATGCTGCAAACAACCTGAATTGAACTCAGTGGGTCACATAAATGAAGAAAAGAAAATAGGAGGAGACTTCTTGGAAAGAATGTGTTCAGAGGGAGAGGAGTAAGAGAGGTGATGGGGGAGTGGCCAACATTCATTATATACATGTAAAAAATTGTCAGAGAATAAAAAGTACTTAACTCATTTGTAGGAGCAAACAGATCACAGCGACTCTTTAAACTGTAATACTGCTCTTCCGGTATGGATTCATCTGTTCCTTCCCCTCTTTTTCTTCTTTTTCTTTTCCATTTGGCCTGGTGCGTGCTAAGCAGGTGCACTGTACTTGTAAACCCAGTCCACTTTTTACTTTCATTTTGAGGCAGTGTCTCATGTACCAAGTTACCCAGACTGAATTTCACCTCATTCTGTAGCCCAAGCAGGTCTTGTAATTGATCCTTCAGACTCGATTTCCCAAGTAGCTGGGATGACAGGCCTGAACCACTGGGCGTAGCTAAATGAACTCTTTTATGAAAAGGATTTTAAAAAGACTTGCACCGTCTGCTAAAAGTCTTCTGTAGCATCTGTGCTACTACGTGTACTACGGTCCTGTAGCACCTGCACTGCATGTACTACGCCTATAGCATGGTGCCTGTACTACGAATGGTTTGCGAGTGGGGCAAGGGGCTAGAGATTGAAACACACATACACAGAGAGAGAGAGACAGACAGACAGACAGACAGACAGGCAGGCAGGCAGGCAGACAGACATGGGTCATCCTTGAAACAAGAACACCAAGAATGCCAACTTTGCTGTGTTCCAGGGCAGCTTATATGGTGCCTTCCCTGACCAATGGCCACGTCTTAGCTCTTGGGTCCTTCAGCTGCAGCCACCAGAAACCCCTCCCCTGCCATCAGGGTCTCAGGCTGCTCAGAGCAGCTGCAAGCACGGGGAAAACAAGCTGTTTACTCCGGCAGACAAGGGGTCCACAGTCCCCAGCAGTCTTCAGTGTGTAATGTAAAAGCCAATTCATGGGTGGGAGACAAACAGCACCAAAATCATGAATTAATATTACCGATTATTTTATAGGAAAATATATTTTCTTTTTAAAAATCTTTTGTTTGGAGGTACGTTCATTCTGTAAAGACCTGACTGGTGTCAAACCCAGGGTCATCCTTCTCAGCCTGCCGCCTGCTGGGAACACAGGCATGGGTGGGTCGCCATCATTCAGTTTGTCTTTGAAATTGAGCTAATGGCAGCTTGATGATTTTTTTCTCTCCCTCTCTTCTCCTCTCCCCTCCTCTCCCCTCCCCTCCCCCCCCCGCTCCCCTCTTCTCCCCTCTCCCCTCTCCCCTCTCTCCCCTCCTCTCCCCTTCCTCCTCTCTCTCTCCTTTCTCAAATCCTTTTTAGGATGACGTAGAATATTATAATCCAAAACATCTTAAACACTTATGTATACCTGCCTGCCTTCCTTTCTTTTCCTTTTCCGTCTTCTATTCACTGAGACAAGTTTGTATTGCCCATTTGCTCATGGGTACAGGATCATCCACAGGTCATGGGGGCACCTTTCCAGTGACCATATCCCCCAAAGAAAAGTGACTCCTCCTCCAGGTAGCCATCAGCCCCAATAGCTGGTCTGCTAGGGACCGGGCCTCGTCTTGTGCAGGTACTTACAGCTGCTGTTAGCGCATGTGCGCAACAGTCGCATTGTGTGCAGAGGAAATCTCACTGCCTGCCTCCCGTCCATAATGTTCCCTTTGTCTCTTCTTCCACATTGTCCTGCATGGTGGCTACAGCTGAAGCATTTGGAGCAGAGGATTTAACAGTCTTGTGTTTCCTTTGCCAGTTAAAGGGGGGAAATGAGGGAACATGGGGAGAACAAAGGAATGGAGCCCATAAGGAACCCATCCCATGGTCCAGTCAGAGAAATGGGCCTGAACTAAGGAAGGGAGAAGGGGTAAGCAGAAAAGAAAGGGTGGCTGCCTGGCATGCAGGATTAGCCGACTTGGTACTTGACAGCTGGTTTGATTGGGACCCAAGGAGCATCTAGGATAACCGCCAGCATCCCACCGCAGTGACCATGAAGGCAATACCTTTCCAGAACTGGGAGAACTCCAGAGAGGAAGGAGAAACAATAATTACCAATTAGCACAAAGAATAATGTTGACTTTGTAGCTACTGTCTCGTTTGAATTTCCTGAGGTTAGGGTTTAGCTTGAAAATTTCGCTCCCCCCGGACCACAGAACACTTTCCCCTTGGAGTACTGTATAGCGCAGATTTTCTAATTATTAATGTCTTTGAAGATATTCTTTTCATGAATATTTTAATGTTCCACTCAGTGGGCCATTTTCCTCCTGAAATATTTCTAATTTGAGGCTATCTGGAACGATTTCCCGATGCTCTTCCATTAATGCAGAGAAAATTGTTGCTGCTGAGGTGAGTCAGAGCATTTCCTGAGCTCAGGCTCGAATTTGCATTCTGTGAGAGAAGTAGATGTGGGTTTCCTCGAATGGCTGTCAGCGTCACCGTCAGCCTCTGCGCATTAAATATTTCCTAAGTTCTTCTCACTCTATGCATAATTATGGGGGAATTAGACTTTGATTGACTAGAGCAGACACCTGTCACATAAGTAAATTTCTCTGTTTTATTAGGAAACTTTCATATGCTGGTATGAATTCTTTATAATTTAAAAGCAGTGTTTCATATGTCTGCTTAAAATGGAGCTAATTCTAACATAATCAAAGATTTTATTGTGGCAGTTTATTTCATTTTTCCCATTTGACATTTGGAGTCAGAACTATTCAATAAAGCTAATACTTCCGCTCTGCCTTCCCTAAAAGAAACTCATCATAAACAAGTAAAATACAGTATGAGTAAGCCATTTTAATTAGTCTTCAGGATTTCGATAGGTGACCATATGTTACCTGAGGTAGATGAACTCATTTGCGTAAAAGGTCCCTGCAGGGCCGATTAGCATCACGTCAGGAAATCCCTGACTCATTGCCCTCCTGGCTCTATCTCCAGCCCTGGCTGCTGCCCATGAACAGGAGCCAGGACTCTCCCGTGATGAGGAAGGAAGAAAAACCACTTGCAAACCTGTCACTATCATTTCCATGTGCCTCTCTCAGTCCACGGGAAAATTCAACATTTTGTTCTCTGTATAGAGGGGTTTTTTTTTGAAAGTTTTATTTTCCTTTATGTGTCTGTGGGGTGCAAGGCACATATACCACATGCGTGCAGATTCCCTCGGGCATCAGAAGGGAGCATCCGTTCTTTTCGTTGTTGTTGCTTTTGAGACAGGGTTTCTCTGTGGATCCCTGGCTACCTTCAAACTCAAAAGATCCACCTGCCTCTGTCCACTGAATGCTGGAAGTAAAGGCGTATGCCCCCACCACCTGGCGGGTGTTTCTTTTTAATCAAGAAACTTTAATTACTACACATAAATTTACTAAAATTCATAATGAACAAAAGTTAGTGAAAGGAAACTTCCCTATGACTCTGTGTCCCAGCAGACCTGTCTCTCAGTTGTCAAGGCCTTTACATAATCTTGTGTAGTGGACTTTTCTTTCCCGGAAGCCGGCTCCCAAATAACCACACAGAAACTTATTATTAATTACAAATGCTCTGCCAATACCTCAGGCTTGTTACTTGTGGCTTGTTGCAAGCTCTTGCATTTTAAATCAGCCCATATTCCTTACCTAACGTTCTGCCATGTGGCTTGATACCTTTTCTTAGTACGGCAAGTTCATCTCCAACTCTCCACATCTCCTCTCTATTCTGACCTCCTTCCTTTTTTCTTCACGCTCTTGTTTTGTCTCAAGTCCCACCTAACCTCTACCTGTCCAGCTATTGGGCAGCCAGCTTTGTAGCACAAACAATAAAAATCCAGAGACAGAAATTGGGGTTCAACCTGAAAACCAGAGAAGCAAAGCAGCCAAGCCACTAGAGAAGTCTTACCTCTACCAAGGTTGGGTGACTGTAGACCAAGCAGAATAAGCCTCCCTCTCCTCTCATTTTAAATTCCCTCTAGTACTGGGATTAAAGGCCTGTGGCTCCCTAGAACTGGAATTTCTACCACCACCACCTGGATTTGTTTTTGCATTGATTTTGTGTAGCCCAGGATGACCTTGAACTCACAGAGATCCAACTACCTCTGTCTCCCAAATCCTGGGATTAAAGGTGTATGACACCATTACCTGACCTCTAGTGGCTTTAGTTTTGCCATTGGTCTTCAGGCAAGATTTATTATAAAAATACAAATAATATACCACTACACTACTTATTTATTAACCCAGTCACAGTAACAGATATTCACACATGTAAAGGGCTATTCCACACTCTTGTTCATTTCCCAGGGTTGTGTAATGTATATATAAGTATATTCTATTTAAAATTTTAGTGGCAGCAATATTTAATTCAGTGTTTTGTTATTCATTGTATTAGATACCATAAAGATATATGAACATAGATCCTCTACTTTTTAACTTTTTTTTATTAGTTCTTTGAGAGGTTTAAGTTCCCTGCATGGCATGTGTAATTACCCTTCAACTCTTCCCAGACCCACCCTCCTTTCCCTAAGTGACCCAAGTTTGTATCAAAATAAACCAACCTTTCAAGACCACTTTGCACTGCCAGAACTATTCTTGGAGTGTGGTCTTTTACTACAGCATGTCTTTCCCAGCAGCTAACAACTGCCAGTCACTGCTCATCTAGGGGTGGGATTGTGTGCCCAGCTTCCCTGTCTATCTGGGATTTGATGTGGCCTGGGCTTTCACAGGTTTTGCGTGTGCTAATCACAACTGCTGTAAGTTCATCTGTGGGGCTGCCCCGCTGTGCCCAGATGTTGTTACCTGGCTTTTATATTCTTCCTGCTCTTTCTTCTGCAGTGATCTCTGGGTCTTCTAGTGCTGAGGATTTGGGAGTCTCTTTGCTCTCTTCACTGTGGCTCATGATAGGTCTCTGCGTTTGTCACCAACCACGTAAACAGACGCTTCTCAGAGGAGAGTTGGTAGATGCGTTGATCTGTGGACATAATGATAAGTCATTAGAGTAAGCCTAATACTATGTCCACTTAGGAGCATAACAGGAGTAGTTCTCTTCTAGGCTTATGACTTGTGTAGCCATAAGTTCCTGGCACAGCAATGGTGCCAGGTAGAGATTTCATCTTGTGGAGTAAGACTTAAATCCAGTCACAACGTGGTTGGTTACTTTCTTGGGTCTGTCTTGCTAGACAAGCTATTGTTGTAGCTTGAGGAGGTCGCAGCCCAGTACGATTAATGAGTAATGTTTGTATCTAGTACCTGCAGAGCACTTCCCAGCCCTGTGAACGCTAGCTGGTGGGAGGGGTGAAGTTGCTAGGTCCATACCGTGTTGATCTCATGTTTTATGTCATGTCTTCAGTATATATTCTTACTGTCCGGTTCTGGAGGGTAACCAAGATTAATGGTAATAGCTTATGATGTTTGAGGGTCAATGGGACCTCATTACCCAACAACTCCAAAAAAGAAGCCATTTCTGGATCTGGGCTTTTTGTTAGCCTATGTTGTCTAGTAGGGGCATTGTTACCCTGTTATAGGGCTTCTCTCTCTCTCTCTCTCTCTCTCTCTCTCTCTCTCTCTCTCTCTTCTCTCTCTCTCTCTATCTGTATGTGTGTGTATTTATGTATGTTTTTTTGTGTGTGCACTCAAGCTGCCTACACACACTTATCATTCATACCACCAAACAATGTTAAGTATTCACGATCTTGGATTTAGCATTAGATTTTTAGATACCAAAAGCAAGAATGAGAAAAGAGATATATATTGAACTTTGTATTACCATGACATTTTATAAGTCACAGGACATTACACCCCCTAAAAGTGAAAAGATAAGCTACAGAATGGAAGAAATACTTGTTGATCATGTACTTGAGAAAAATATAGTGTTCGAGACACATAAACAATGTAAGAAGTACAAAAATCCAATTTTAAAATGGGCAAAGTACTTGAGTAGCTTTCTCTAGAGAAGACAAATGACAAGCAAGCAGTTTAAAAGATTCTTAGCATTCCTAGTCATTAAGAAAATGGAAATCAAGACCAAATAAAACATTACTTCATCTCCACAAGGGTAGCTATAATTAAGTAAAAGAAAAACAACAAATGTTGAGGGTATGAGGACATTAGAACTCTCTCACATTGCTAGTGAAAAGTAAGTAAGTAATTCAGCTGCTGTGGTACATCACTTGGGAATTCCTCAAAGTCAAGTGTACGGGTACTGTACAGTTCAGTAATTCCTCCCATCGAATTGAGATCAAATATCAGTTGAGACAAGTACTAGTGCATGAATGTTCATAGCAGCACTGTGCAGTAGCCAGAAGGAGGTAGAAACAATCTAAATATCCATCATCAGAATATGGGATCTGAGCCATGCCGTGGTGGAGCGCACCTTTAATTCCCGCCACTCGGAAGGCAGAGGCAGGCAGATCTCTGTGAGTTGAAGGTCAGCCTGGTCTACAAAGTGAGTTCCAGTATAGCTAAGACTGTTACACAGAGAGACCCTATTTCACAAAACCAAAAAGGAGAAAGCAAAGAGTGTGAGATCTGGGGGTCGAGGTCAGGTCATCAGGCCTATGTGCAAGAGCCTCTGTCCATTGAAACTTCTGACCCAGTAAATTCTAAAATTTACATCCAAAATAAATAAACCTGGAGAGGCAGAGACCCCAAAAGCCTACAATGTTGAAGTCCAGTCAATGAACTGATAGTGACTTCAAAGCTTAGTATAAGATATGACACCAATTTTGTCAAGAAACACCTAAGCTGAGTAGCAGCACCAAATAGAGCCCATGAATAGCCCCACATGAGTCAGCTATATAAAGGACAAAGGCAGAAAGTAGCAACGGAACAAACGAATGCCATACCCCAAAGAATCTAGACAGATTTTATACCCCTCATGAAAATTAACCCCAAATGGATCAGAGACCTCAAAGTAAAGTGTTTAAGTCATAAGTAGTGTAGATATGTAGATGATTTAGAATTTGATGATTATTTAGATAGGATGCTAAAAGTTCAGTATATGAAAAAGCAATGAGATGAACTTTATTAAAATTAAACATTCTAAGACCAAGTGTGGTGCTGCAATCCTATAATCCAAGTGCTAACAAAACTGAGGCAAGAGGGGTATGAGGTACAGGACATGCGTTGCTACATAGTGAGAGCCTGCTTCAAAAAGGAAAAAAACAAAACAAAACAAAACTAAACTAAAGTGTTTGGCTGTCAACAAGCCATAAGCAGAGAGAAAACATTTGCAAAAGATATACCTGATAAAGAACAGTTAAACAAAATGCACTAATAATTTTTACAATGTAGCAGTAAGTAACAACCTGATTGAAACTTAAAAGATCAAGACTGGTAAGATAGGTCAGCAGGTAAAGTTGTCACATAAAAATGGAATAGAAATCAGGTGGGGAATGTACTCATATATTATTTATTATGCTACAATGGGCATGAGCTTTGAAGACAGCATGCTAAGTGAAGTAAGCTACATGCAAGAAAACATGCTTTGTCATTCTATTGTATTGAAACTATAGACAGAAGTTTCTGTCCTGCCTGGTCCCACAGCTGTTCAGTCTCAAATAAATACACAGAGACTTATATTAATTATAAACTATTTGACCTATTGCTTAGGCTTATTACTAACTAGCTCTTACAACTTAACCCACAATTCTTATCTATGTTTAGCCACATGGCTTGGTACCTCTTCTCAGTAAGGCACTCTCATCTTGCTTGGTCTGCATCTGGCTGGCTGGTGACTGACTGTCTGCCTTTCTTCTTCCCAGAATTCTCCTAGTCTGATCCTCCTGCCTATACTTTCTGCCTGACTACTGGCCAATCACTGTTTTATTAAACTAATATGAGTGACAGATCTATACAGTGTGCAAAGATCATTATCCCACAGCATGAAATATTCAGAAAATAGATATCTACATGGAATATAAATAGATCGTGGTTTCTAAGGAGCTAGAGGACCATGAAAATAGCAAATGAGTACTTAATAGATGCAGGATTTCCTTTTGGGATAATGAAAATATTTTGGAACCACATAAGGAGGGTTGATGTCACCAGGGAAAAGCAAATCAAAAAACAGTGAGTACACCCATCAAAATGGCCAAAATCTTGAAGGCATGGAGCAACAGGAACTCTGGCTCATTGCTGGTGGGGATTCAGAGTGGTTTAGCCACTTGGAAGTAGTTTGGCGGTATCTACCCACTGTTTTCCTCCACTCCAATTCTTCTCTTAGAAGTGGTTTGGCGGTATCTACCCACTGTTTTCCTCCACTCCAATTCTTCTGCTCCTCTGTATTTGCCCAGAGATGTAAAAACCTAACGTTCACCCAAAAATCAGGATACAGTTGCTCATAGCAGCTTTGTTTATAATTGCCCAAGGTTGGGAGCCACCAAGATGTCCTTCAGTGGATGAACGGATAAATAGTACGTTCAGACAGCAGAATATTATGTAGTAAAAAGAAGTGAGATGTGAAGCCATGGGAAGCCATGGAGGAAACACATATTAGTAAGTGAAAGAGGTCGGTGTGATAACGATAGACCTACCTGATTCTCACTGCCAAGACATTCATAACAGGAAATGATGGGGTCAGTAATACAAACTCGGCAGTAACCAGGAGTTGAGGGACAGGAGCAATGAATAGCAGGGTTCAGAGCATTATTGGGGTGACCCTTGCTGTGTCACTGGTACTTTTAAACTTGACAGAGTCGCAGTGAAGTGCTTTTGTAGGTTCAGATAAAGTGGTGTGTGTGGCTAAAGCATACTTTGAGAATGAAGTTTAAATCAAGTGATTTAAATATGTGTGGGGGAGGCTTGTCCATGAATGGGGGCAAGAAGCATCTGAGAAATGTCTCCCTCACTGTTTGTTAGGAACTTGCAAGTCCTCTGAGAAATAATAAGACCTCTATGCATTAGTTCAAGCATGCTAATTCCTGTTAATTTTTATCATTCACTAGCTGTTGTAAAGAACTAAATCATGTTTTCAGGAAAAAGGATAAAACTGGAAATCATTATGTTGGGTGATATAAGCCAGTCCAGATACTTCTAGAGTTCATATATATATGGGCAGGGGGTAGAAAGGGGAATCAGAAGGGGATATATACATACATATATATATATACATATATATACATATATATATATGAGAGGGGGTAAAAGAGAGGGATAATAAAATGTGAGTGGCCTGAAAGCAGAGGGAAGGCCGAGAGATGGAAAGGAACGAGTTAGTCAGAGGAGGCCAGAAGCAGAAGGAAGGTCAGTGGGGGGAACAATTAGGATAGATAATGACACTATCGGAAACCGGTGATGAAACCCAGTAGTTTGTACTCTTACTTTAAAAACTAATATAAAACGTAATGGCTAAAATATACTGTGAGGATCAGGCGGTAGTGGCATATGCCTTTAATCCCAGCACTCGGAAGGCAGAAGCAGGCGGATCTCTGTGAGTTCGAGACCAGCCTGGTCTACAAAAGCTAGTTCCAGGACAGGCTCCAAAGCTGCAGAGAAACCCTGTCTCAGGGATGGAGGGAGAAGCATACTTTGAGGATAAAGTTTAAATCAACTGTTTTCAGAATGAAGTCCCTCCTCAAGAAACCCTGAGCTCAGCAAGTTTGAAAAGCACTTCCCTGCTCGGGGAAAGCCTGCATTTGCCTGCAGCTGCAGAAGCATTGTCTTTGCAGAACAACTCTGATTGCTTCACATCTCTCATTCTGAGGCAGGTCTTTACACAGTCTTAGAACTGCCACGAAACCCTGTGGCCCCATGCTGGCCGTTGGACCTACCTGGTGTGACAGAAGACGAATGATGGGTTCCTATGTAGGACTTCTCTCTCCTGAATGCCTCTCCCTCAGCCTGTTCAGCTAATGGCAGGTTTTTAACATTTCATTTGCCCCCTTTCTGAGTGTCCTGCCAGAGAAGGAGCAGTCAGGGTGGAGGCTGTGCATTTGAAACCTTTCTAAACATTGCCAGGTTGCTTTGTTTTCCTCTTCTTTCTTCTTTCTTTCTTTTCT